ACTTTAAGAAATGGGGTTTCAACCCCACTAAAGTCCCAGTGGGATACGCAAAAATCCGTGGGAGAATTGAAAAACCCCATGGGAGGTCACATTTTGAACGCTCACACAGCGTTTAATTATTGCGCTATCTTTGTGTAATCGGTCAATAATCGTTTATTTTTATCCAAATTACTGTTTGATTTAACTTGTTGTATTGAAACTATGTTAAAAAGGGTAGTTGAGTTTGCGAAAAATTCCGGATTTGCAAACTTATTCCGGAGGCTGTTTTTTGTTACAGAGTTCACTTTACGATAATCTGTACACATTCTATATGTTCCATTTGATTTCGGTACAAGAATACATGGAGAGCTGTAACTGCTTTGACTTGGTTCAATAAAGTCATTATCCAATAAATACTGAACTTCTTGTCTTAGGTACTTTTGTTTTATAGGATTCGTTCTATATGGATGTTGTTTTATTGGTTCAGAGTTTTCAAGAATGACGTCATGATGTATTTTGTCAGTCCGTGTGGGAATATCAGGAAATAAGTGTTCATATTCATAAATAAGCTGTTTCAGTTCATCTCGTTTCGACGGTTCTAAGTGAGCAAGTTTTTCATCCAGATTTTTCAGAATATCAGAGTTTTCAAGCTTTGCTGAACCAGGATCAGACTTTTCAAAATTTTCACACCTATTAGATTCAATTGAACATTGATTTTGTGGAACAGAGTTTACAAAAGATATAGGTTTACTAATTTTGCTATCTCTGTCAAAATATTCTTTTAACATATTTATATGACACATTTGCTTTTGCTTTCGCCTCCCAGGAGTATTAATAATATAATTAAGGTCACTGACTTTCTTTTCAATAGTATAAGGACCAAAGTATCTTGCCTGTAATGGTTTTCCAGGTATAGGTAAAAGAGCAAGTACTCTATCACCAGGGTTAAAACTTCTTTCCTGAGCATTCTCATCATACCTTGATTTCATTTTACTTTGTGTTGATTTTAAATTAAGCCTAGCTAACTCACATGCATTAGTCAACCTATTTCGAAAATCTGATACATACTGAAGCAAATTTAAAGATATGTCATCTTCAGACAGGAATTTCTCTTTTAGAAGTTTTAAGGGTCCTCGGACAGTGTGACCAAATACTAATTCAAAAGGGCTGAAGCCAAGAGATTCCTGAACAGATTCTCTTACAGCAAATAACAATAAATGGATGCCTTCACCCAGCCCTTTTTCAGTGCCCAAAAAATATAACCTTACCCCATATTTTTAAAGAGTTGGTGAAATCTTTCTAATGCCCCTTTGATTTTCAGGATGATAGTTGAAGACCTAAGGTTAAATTTCCAAATTTCCGTGCATGACCTGCGGGAAAAAAATCCCCAAGACAAAAAAAATTTAAACCCTTGACCCAACGGGTTACTGATTTGGGTAAAACCCAACCCAAAATGTAAAAAATTTCCCAAGACCCCCTTAAAATAATATTTTTTGGTTTTTAATTTTCCCTTAAAAGGAAAAAGTTTTAAAGGAAAAACCCCGGGGGGAAAGAAGAAAACACATTAAAAGTTAAAAAAGAAACTGAAAAACCTAAAATTTATTTTTTGGAAAAAAGGGAACCTACACTTTAAATAAAAAACCTCTATTTAAAAAAGGTTCATAAAAAATGCAGGAATAGGCTGTAAATGAGCTTTAAGTATTGACTGGTTAGGTTTTCCAACCATCTGACAAGTATGACAAGATTTACAGTACCTAGATACATCTGCTTTAAGGCCAGGCCAATAAAAATGACTGAGAATTTTATGGTAGGTTTTATTAACACCTAAATGACCTGCCATGGGTGTTTCATGAGTCATGTGTAATATTTCCTGGCGATAAGATTTAGGGACCACAATTTGGTGATTAACTGTCCACTCCTCTTCAGCAGGGACATCGGGCGGTCGCCATTTTCTCATTAAAATCCCATTCTTTTCATAATAACAAACAGGGACTTGTAAAGCTTCATCTTCACTAAAAGCCTTTTGAAAAAGGACTGAAATCTCAGGATCATTTTGTTGTTCCTGGATAAGCTGTGACCTTGACAACGTGTCATGACCTTGATCTTTAGATCTTGGTGTAGAAAAGTCAGATATTGAAAAATCTGTCTGAGTTTCAGGCAGAGTAGGAGTGTGAGAAAAATTTATTTCATTATCAAAAGACTGACCTATAAAAGTATCAGCTAAGTCAATATCTGAACAAAAATTGTCTTCTTGAATGGCCTTCTTAGCCATAGCTCGAGTAACTGCACATGAAGGGTAAAGGTCAGGAATTTCCTGCTCAATGGGATCAGGTATCTGATCCACACAAGGAGTGTCAGTTACAAGTGGATTAACCACTACCTTATCTCCAGCTAAGTCATTACCTAGCAATAAATGAACACCTTTAAAGGGTAAGAAAGATCTTATACCTACAGCCACCGGCCCAGTTACCAAATCTGAGGACAAATAAATATTATGGAGAGGGACATTAGAAAAACCACACTCTACACCCCTGAATAAGGACACTAGATCCAGAAGAAGTCTTCTCAGAAAAAGGCAGTGTATCTGCTAAAATAAGAGATTGAGAAGCTCCTGTGTCTCTTAAAATTTTAATAGGGGTAGGTGGGCAAGTATCACCGATAAGTGACACGGAACCATCCGAAAGGAATGCTTCATAAATCTCCATTATAGAATCAGACTTGGGTTCTTTGACCTTCAAAATTGCATTGTTATCAATACAAGACTGAGGTTCAGACCTTGAAGTGGTAAGAACTGTGGGTTTGGCCTCATCACGTTGTTGTTGCCTCCTTTTTAAGGTAAAGCAATCAGAAATAAGATGTCCAGTTTTCTTGCAATAATTGCATGTAGGACGAGATAAGGGATTATGACCTTTATGTTCATCAGATGACTTTGGTTTGGGAGTATTTGACTGACTAGATAAGCCAGATAAATTACCAGAACTGAACTTGGAATTAAAATATGAGGGTGTGGACTTCCCTTTATTTAAAAATGAGACTTTGTGGGTTAAAGAATAATCATCAGCTAGACGGGCAGCTTCTTCTAAAGTTTCTACCTGTTTTTCATCTAAGAAAGATTTAACATCAGAGTGAATACAACTTTTAAACTCTTCAACTAACATGAGCTGTCTGAGCTTTTCATGATTTTTATTTATTTTTTTAGATAGACACCACCGATCAAAAAGTTGTTCTTTTTTTCTTGCAAATTCGACATGGGTTTGACCAATTTCTTTCTTAGAATTTCTGAATTTTTGCCTGTAGGCCTCTGGTACTAACTCATAACCTTTCAGAATTAATTCTTTTACATTATCATAATTAGAGCTTTGTTCAACAGTAAGTTGTGTATAGATTTCACGAGCTTTACCAATTAAGACACTCTGTAAAAGTAATGTCCAGTGCTCTCTTGGCCATTTTAAATTTTCAGCAACCTTTTCAAAATGAAGAAAATACTTATCAACTTCTTTTTCTTGGAAAGGGGGAACAAGCCTTATATTTTTAGTGACATCAAATTTTGAATTGATTCTATGTTCAAACTGATTTGCTCTCTCTTTGATTTCTAATTCTCTCATTTTAAACTGAAATTCTCTCTCTTCTCTTTCTTTTTCAAACTGCCTTTCTTCCCTTTCCTTTTCCATCTGTCTTTCTTCCCTTTCTTTTTCTAACTGTCTTTCTTCCCTTTCTTTTTCTAACTGTCTTTCTTCCCTTTCTTTTTCTAACTGTCTTTCTTCCCTTTCTTTTTCAAACTGCATTTTTTCTAGTTCAAATTTAAATTGAAGTTCAAGCTCTTTTATCTTAATTTCTGGGTTTGTTTCAACAATCAGAGAAAGTGCATCTTGTCCAAAAATATCTTCATCCACAAAATAATGAATCAGAAGATTTTTAATTTCTTGTTTACGCATTGAAGATTTAATTTCTGATAAATTATACTTTTTTGCAAGATCGAGCAAATCAGTTTTCTTAGCCAAATCTAATACCTCCTGGGAAGGTTCAGCTACAAACTTTTCTAAATCAAAAGACATGACTGCTTGCTGCTGGTTTTAAACTTAAATAGTGGTGTGTTTAAAAAATTTCAAAATGAAAAGCACACTTAATAGAACAACTATGGTATCAACTCAAATGAGTAAATACGGTAATAACAAAATGTAAAATAAACAGTAATAATTTCCAATAATGTAGCAAAAAAGAAATATTCGATCCCGGACGAGCCCCCAATTTCTGTTACGAGCCAGGCGTAACGAGAAAGAAAAGCCAGCAACAAACTTGTAACAATAACAAATTTATTACAGAAAAATTATTAAAAAATAAATAAAATAACAAATTATCTTTACAAATACCTGAAGTCCAAATAAAAATTACAAATGTCTAGTCTGATCCTGGAATGATCCTTTTTTAATAGCACAGTTAAATCCAAGTTAAATCCAAGAACACTTTAGAATAAATTCCCACAATAAAATCCACAAGAATAATTAATAATCCAAGCTCCAATAAATCACTTAATTTCCAAGTTGAATAATACTACAAATATATTGATGACTTAAAAGATCACTGATGACTAAAAAGGTAACTGATGACTTAAAGATAAGAGTAATGAAAAATGTCTCCTTATATATATTAACTAAGAAGTTTCTAGAATAGTCTTCCATTTACTACAGTAATCATAATCTAGCAACTTCAACAATAAAGATCATTCCAGAAATTTCTATCTAAATATAATGCATGAGTTTTCCACAACAGTTAAGAACGTTCTAGTACATACATGTAGTTTATGTTCTAAAAATAGAACAATGACAATATTGGAAATACCAACTAGTCAGCTATAATCTATATACATGTAATATGTTGCATACATAACAATATCATACGGATTAAATTGCTAATTATTGAGTGTAATGCAAGCACAATTTACTTATCGCAACAAAGATGTTTATACAATCATTATATTGTATCTGTTACTGATTCATTACAATATATATCTATTTATTCAGCCGGCTACCGAATTCCAAAAGGAACAAACATAGCCATTAATCACTGGGCGCTTCACCATGACCCAAGCGCATGGGATGACGTTGATCGATTTATTCCAAAACGATATTTAGGGGAAGATGGAAAGCTAGGACCTAAGCCAAAGAACTGGCTGCCATTTTCGGCTGGGACACGAGTATGTCTCGGAGAATCTGTAGCCAAACCAAAGCTTCATTTAATCTTCGCGAGTTTAATGCAGCGCTATAAATGGAAAATGGAGTCGGGATTATGTGCAGATATCGTCCCTGTTGGGTCAGCTTTTATTCTGGGTTGTAAGCCCTACAAAGTCATTGCTGAAAGGAGAATTTAAGTGACAGAAGAAAAAGTTTTTTTTAATATAATTAGGGTAACTAGTAGAATATATCGTGAAAGAGAACTAGTATAATTAAAAAGTATGACATTATATTCAGTAGAAGACATGTTTAAATTGTACTATTATATTTTTTAGCATGTAGAAAAATATTTGTATACACTGTTATATGTAAATTCATTTTTTTGCTCCTTATTAACACGTAGAAGTAATATTATTTACATCAATATCAAAATGTTATTTGGTTTATATTTCAACTTCTCTTATATCATAATCTTATGTTACACGAGGCTAAAGACCATCAAGAGGTATTCTCGAAACGCAGTCCCTACAATACTCTGAAGCAACGGCAAACGAAAGGACACCAAGCGGGGAGGGAAAATCAAATGAGGAGGAGGTGCATAATTAGATATTTATTAGTGGCGGCAGAGCAACAATGGAAGAGGGGGATTGGTAGATATATCCGGGTCAATGATACATATTACAATATATACAAAGGATATTACGTGGGACGCAAACACATAACGCATATAACTGTTTGCAAAACATACTGAAAGGAACGTGATATTGTATCAATGTAAACTTATTTTTGACACCAAAGGTATTTAGCTTAACACTTGTGGACCTTTTTACATAAGCTATTTCAAGATAGATATGCAGCCCATTATCTAAAAAAAACCCTATTGTCTGCTTGTCTCCTCTTCGTGATTCTATCGTAACATCTGTTACATGTTTTCTTTTACTTGGATGTATAGCAGAGGAGCGTTGCTGACAGTTGAATGGTCCAATGAAACCGAGCCGTTAACATTTTCAATTTTGCGGTTTTGGGGTTTTCTTTAAGATATCCGTTTTCTTTATCTTATTTGATATTATGCTGTTTAACGGAAAATGTAAAATGTGTTATCTGGAAGATGTTATGTCAAAAATATGCAAAAATGAACTCTTTTTTCCAGATATTTTAATGCTACTGTAAGAACAATAATGCACTGTTACATGTACTAAGTTCACAGCAATTTTAAATTAAGCAATTTCCATGACATATTTACTTTCATCAAGTCGTTTTCATTCATCAAGTGCTCCAGTGCTTTTATTTGTTAATTATAATTATATTGTTTTTTTATGATTAAACTAAAAATGATTCTACAAGAAATAACCCTCAGATTTTGTAAGAGTAAAAAAAGAAAAGTTTGAAAAATACCAATAATAAATTCATTTTGTTTGAGAAATATATCCATTGTTGCTCTGCCCCCACCAGTAACAAATAACATTTTTATTTGAAATTCACAATTCACATAAAGAAGGAATATAAACAAGCAAATTCCGTTTTATGGCTATGGAAACAATAGGTAATTGTTAATGTTGGAATGCTTGACTGTCCTTCCGCTCGATGTTCCGCATGCAAGAATCATGTTTGTTGAAAGCTGCGTTCGTTGAATGACGCGTTTCCTTGTTGGCAATTGGTCAAAGGTCAAAATTGCTCGTAGACTTGTATCGATCAACAATTCTGTCTTTCCTGGATGGATGTTTTAGTGAAAATGTGTCATGCATTTAAATCAAATTTTGATGTGAAATGTGAAAGGTAGTCGTGTCTAGCCCATAACTATGCTATTCGTGGATGAGTTCTTTTTATATATCTGTATGCATAAATGTGTGCAAATGAAGCCAATTTATCGCACGCAAAGCTTAGATTTGAAATTCAGATCAAAAGAGCAAGGTAATACTTAATTTGAAAGCAGAGGGGAAATTATCGAGAGATTGAGATTGTTGGTTTTTTTAACTACTTGACCCTTACCGTTGTTGGTCTGAATCCAGAAAGAGACTTTGGATTCTTCTTGTGAAGTTGCTATTCACCTCAGTGATTCTATGCAGGTGCCTACACGTGCCTGAAATAATGCATGATTGTGAACCTATGTATATCTTCCTCCACCAGTAAGGCTTGAAGGTCGCCGAAAGACCTTTAAAGTGTCGATGTGTCTTAAAATCGAACAAAAGTATGATTTTCGTTTGCGATAAACATGTCATACATTGATGTTTTTTTTCGTAAAACAAAACTTTACATTTATGCGTGGCGGATATTTCTTAATTATTATACTCTAGGATGTTATTGTCATTTTTCTAAATATATTCGAAATGCATTTAATAACATTCTAAAAGCCGTCAATGCACATATATTTTGAACTTCAAAAATTATAAAATAATGAAAAAAAAGAACAATATACCTTTACTAAAAAACTTAACAACACCCAACATTGATTTCGAACAAAACAAAACAAAAATATATATATTTCAGCTAAATATTAAGACTGAGGTTTCAATCACAGTTAAGTTATCTTTTTTGTGGTTTATATAGATAGAAGTGTTCAATCCTAGAATGCCAGCATATTCGCCAAAATGACAATCCCGTACAATGTTCTTTAAGTGCACTGTGCGTGAGCTGAAGTGCAAGTACTCTATAAGGACGATTTTTGTACAGACGCAGATGATCAAAACGAATAAAGAACTGTCTTTTCTGAGACTTTCTATGATTTCCTGCTTGCGTGCATGCATCACTTCATAAGATTACTAGTATTTCGTTTCTCCAAGTTTTTTGTCTGAAAGAAATTTACAATACATTCAGTATGTTAATAAATATATTGCGCCGATACTTCAATTTCAAAGGTTCACTTTTGGTTACTGAAATACATCAGTTGTGAATGTAGAGATTTATGGAAGGTGCAATATGTATTGTAAAACTCTCTTAGTTATATTTTTGTTCAAATTGTATTCAATCCTTAGCACTTTTTGGTATTTAAGGCATTTGTTGTTGGAATAGACTGTGTCTATAAAGAGCTGTATAATTTTTACACAAAAGTTTGCGAACAGGTTTATCCTATTAATTTTTTGTTTATCTGGTGAGATATAGTGCTTTTAACCATGGTTTATAATATGACACCATAATGGTAAGTCCCGGAAAGCCCACTCGAGAGAGGTTCAAAATGCTTAATTTGTTATAAACACAATCGACAAAACCAAAATTACCCGAATGAGTTAGGACGTTGGTAAAATATATCTTTACATAGGCATGGTATATTTGAAATTACAAAACAGAGTTTTAACAACTTCTTTACTTGCTCTTTATAGTCGCAGCAGTAAGAATTGTCTACTGGAACCGAATGTAATATGACACCATTGATCAGATAGCTTTAAAACTTTTCTAACATTTTTAACATTTAATGTTTTAAATAAAGTAATTGAACAATGTATGCTCCAAAATCCGAATTATTTTAGGGTGATTTTCCTTAATTGCTTTCATGAAATAGGAGCACAATTGAAATGTCGAACAAAACGTGAAATTGTAAAATTACAAATTCGACATAAACGATTCATTACGTAACAAGAATATATTATAACAATCTTTTTTCTTTACCTGTCTGACGTATTATTTACTGCGATAGTTAATGCTTAGGTGAGACATTTAGACGATAGTATGGAAAGTTTTCATAAGTTGCTTAGACAGCAAGGAACATCACAAAAACAATTGCTGTGTAAGGTGATAGAAAACTTATTTTGTTCATATAAGAAAGCTCTGAAGAACTTGTGGTCTGGAAAGAGAGAAATAGAATTCCTAAAGGAAGTCCAAACCGGCGAAATGGAAACAATTGCAGGCTCGGTTGAACTGATTCTGTTCGCGACCTCTGGCGCCGGCTAAGCAGTGTTCAACATTTAAACATGTAATAGTAAAAATTTGAATTTAGAAAATCCACAGATGTGTTCATATCATTGAAGTTGTTACTTTTTTCTAAAACAATATAATCATAACTTATTTAAAATAAAAAACCAATTACCGGTCATTTTACAACAATGGACTGTCCAGATTAAGACTTAGTATGAACAAAGAATATCGAATTCTCAAAATATGTAAATGCATTTGTATATATAAAATATATTAACAAGCAAATAATGAAATCATATACCGGTAAAACAACAGTTGTAATGAGTAATCTTACAATTATATAATCAAAATATATTATCATGTTATTTAAGAAACAAAGAAAAAATAGAAAATATCAATTAAATAGTATTAATTGCAAGTCTTTAAGTAACTGATACCAAGTCTTTCTTCACCATCTCTGAAATTTAGCCTTGCAGCTTTGGACAAATGTTTTAAGAAATCATCATCATTCAAGGGATTTTAAGATTAAAAGAACTGCACTGAAGTTTTATCACACGACGGGACTTGAAATATTTTTTCGACATTAATGTTGAATATGATGTAAGCGTAGACCAACAACTTGTGTGCAAAAATTTCAGACCATTCGCTCGGTACGTTTTTCCAGAATAGTTATTTTAATTTCAAAAGAGGCTTTTGGACCTCAGTGGAGTTCATTTAAAAATGAAATGTAAAGACCTATGAATCCCACTCATAACTGTTACAGCATGTTTATTTCTAAAATTGTGTTTCATTTTTTTAGTTTTATACGACGGTTTCCAAATATTTACTCATTGGCCATATATCTGAACCATTCTTTGCTTCCTTTTGGCATTTAGTATAGTGACTGTGATTTAGTCTTTTAGCTGGAAGTCAACAAACCGCCGTGTATATGTTTAATTTACTTTGTGACAAATTATTCT